TCTGTCTGCCTGCCTGCCTGCCTGCCTGCCTGCCTGCCTGCCTGCCTATCTATCTGTCTGTCTGTCTGTCTGTCTGTCTGTCTGTCTGCCTGTCTGTCTGTCTATCTATCTATCTATCTCTACCTACCTACCTACCTACTTACCTATCATCTGCCTACCTACTTATCTACCTATCTATATCATCTATCTATCTATCTGTCTGTCTGTCTGTCTGTCTATCTCCTAATTTCCTAATTCTTAACCACCCTCTCCTTTCAGGACAGTGTACAATATTATTAATAAAATTAACATTAAAATCAGACTTGATTTAAAATTTAAAAGTTTTAAAATTACAAACATAACATTACATTTCAAAAAGTGAGAAATTCCAAGATTAGGGGGTGGGGGTAGCAGTTGTTAATACAGGTGGGGAGCAGGGAGGAGTACTCCTGGGGTCGGCCAGCCCCATCGTTGTATGGGACTCTGTATCCCTCAAGCAAGGCCCTCCAGTCAAGTTTTCATCCCTTTGTAATAGGCACGTAGGGTGTGTCATTTAATGGGGTGAACATTAATTTTTGCAATTTTTTTTTCAGTGAGGGGTTCTAAAAATATGTGTTTTTACACCAAGAATTCAAATGTGTTGTTATTTTTGCAGCTCGACAATATTTAGCTTGGTATGGTTAATCCATGTCTGATCATATACCCCACAAATACTGTTAACTTTATTTTCTCAAAATTACACCTTGCGCTACAAAAATCAACATTTTTTTCTACATGAATCTTATCTAGCTAAGCAAAAAATAATCCATGCAATCCTAAACTAACATCAGAAAGCAATTATCTGAGTTACCAAAATGTTTAAGTGAGTTTCATCAAGTCTTGTTTTGATTCGTTCTTCGACATCAGCCTCCGACTTGCTTCTTTTGTCTCTGATATAATCCTCATGTTTCTCACATGTATACACTCTGGTTGCTGCCTCTGTGACCTGTTTCACACATCACTCTATTGATTGGGCACGACAGGGCCACTGTGGTACTTGCATTGGTTCATTGATGAACTTCTTTATTTCTGCTGTAGTCAGTTTGCACGTCAAAGATGGCTCGTATACTCCTTCAGACCAGTCAATCAGCTCCAGCAGAGTGGATGTCTGGTTTGACCTCTACCCAGTGCATGGCCCCACCTTCACAGCCAGTATTAACAATCATAGAATCTCCTCCAATGGCCTTCAAGTTTTTGTCAATGCCTTTCTTCTTCACGAAATATACCAGGTTATCTGGAATCACTTGAGCAGGTTTCCTGGTTTTTGAGCCTTTCTCTGGAGTGAAATGATAACGGAATCTTCCACCCAGCTCACTGCACACAGAATAATGTTCTTTGATTGTTCTGGGGAATTGCTGGTCAGAATTGCTTTCTGGAGAATTGCTGGTCTGAAAAGTTATATTTGTGTAGTTATTTACCAAGCACATCTAAATTATATTAAAGTAACCAAAATACCTTTACAATCCCCAAGGCATGTCTCAACGTTTGAGCATCCCTAATGTTTGAAAATTTAAAGTTGAAAAATTTGACATGCCCTAATAGGCAGCTCCCCGTCAGCACTCCAAATGGTTGAATATTATCATGCTGAGCGATGCAGTAGCTGTAGGGTGGAGAGAGGGAGTTTTGCCAAGGATTTCCCAACAAGCTGCATTGCTGAGTCAGGTTCTGCCTTCCAGCTCAGAAACATTGTTTCTTCCCTTTGTAAGCTATCACAGTCATGCAAGTCAGGGTTTCTCTATCTTGGCAGCTTTCAAAATGCATTTGAAAGCTACCAAAAGTTGAAAAATACTGATCTAAGTGACTCTAGGCTGTATACAACATGTTAAAGCAGGGGTCTGCAACCTTAAATATTCAAAGAGCCATTTGGACCCGTTTCCCACAGAAAAGAAAACACCGGGAGCCACAAAACCTGGGTGGGCATGGCCAACTCGATGTCACTCACTTCCACCAGTCACATGACTCCCCCTAGCCATGCCTATCCAGCCGGTCATTAGGGCAGAGAACCCGTTGTTAAAAAACACCGGGAACCACAAAATCCTTTTGACATCTCTCTCTCTCGCCTCCCTCCCTCTCTCCCTCTCTCTCTGTATCTCCCTGTCTCTGCCCTGGCCGCTTCTCCATCCCCCACCATTGCCCTTATCTTCTCAGGCCAGGCAAGGAGTGACTGGGAGGGGAGGGCAAGGGTGGGGCCAGCCAGTGGTGGGATCACCTGACAGGGAGCCACAGCAGAGGGCCCAAAGAGCCGCATGTGGCTCCGGAGCTGCAGGTTGCTGACCCCTGTGTTAAAGCAATGAAATAAGTCGAAAGCAATGACAAGCAACAACAGCAGCCAAAATCTGTTTATCAGGGAAGGAAATAAAATCCAAAATCACTGTGGTGAGAGGCCTGCTGAAAAAAATGGATTTTAAAGTCTTCTCTAAACCAATACAGGGAGGAAGCTATTTAGATTTTGGAGGAGATACAATCTCATAGAGCAGTAGGGGAGGGGACCACACACAAAGAGTCCATCTCCAAGGTCCACAAGATGACCTATTGTTGTGAGGGTTTGTGGAAATGGAAGATGGGCAGAAGAGATGTTGCCTTGGGAAAGATCAGCTAAGAGAGGGCAGAACCCACAGTCACATAAGGAATGGACAATCAGGCTCAGAAGGAACACTCCCCACCCACCCCCAGGCTGTAAAGGAGATGGTGAGAGATTGTACAGGTGGTCCTCGACGTACAACCCCAATTGAGCCCCAAATTTCTGTTGCTAAGTGAGACATTTGTTAAGTGAGCTTTGCCCCATTTTGCAGCCTTTCTTGCCATAGTTGTTAAGTGAATCATTGCAGTTGTTGAGTTAGTAGCATGTTTGTTAAGTGAATCTGACTTCCCCATTGACTTTGCTTGTCTGAAGCTTGAAAAAGGTGATCACATGACCCCGGGACACTGCAACCGTCATAAATATAAACCAGCTGCCAAGCATCCAAATTTTGATCACGTGACCATGGGGATGCTGCAACGATCATAAGTATGAAAAATGGTCATAAGTCACTTTTTCAGTGCTGTAGTAACTTTGAACGGTCACTAAATGAACTGTTGTAAATCGAGGATTACCTGCACTTTAAGACTTGCAAGATTATGCTTATGTAGCCTTACAATAAATTAGAAGTAGCTCATCTGATCAAATTTCTTGTCTCATTTACCTAGGGAAGCTGATACATGTTAACCATAGGACTTGCTGTAAGTCTGATGTCCTAAACCTAGATCTAATCAGATGTTAGGTATCATTCAACAAGGCAGTCCTGCAGAGAACTAGGCCATGAGCATTGAAAGGCCTTAAACATTAACCAATAATGCAGTTATTCTGTACATACATTTAATATGGCTTTAATTTTTTTTAAATGAAAAGATTCATAGTCCCATTCTAGATATTAGCCTTCTGCAACTTGGCACTCTCCAAATGTGGCACTTCCCAGCCAGAATGGTGAAAATGCTTATTATCTAGCAATTTTAACCACTGAGGTCTGAAAAGATCTGGAGAATGTTCTGCTAAAGAAATTTGAAATTTGGAATAGGTATTTATTGAGACATGAACCCTGCTGTTTATTTATTTGTATTCCACCTTTATCATATTTACAAATAACTCAAGATGGCAAACATATCCAACATACCTTCCTTCTCCTATTTTCCCCACAACAACCACCCTGTGAGGTGAACTGGGCTGAGAGAGAATGACTGGCCCAAAATCGCCCACCTGGTTTTCATGGCTAAGGCAGGACTAGAACTAGAACAGTCTCTCATTTTCTAGTCTGGTGCCTTAATCACTAGATCAGACTGGCCCCCTCGTTGCTTGGAGAGTGCTTTCTAATAATTGGTTTAAGGAAATTCCAGAGACATCTTTCATTGTTCCATTATGTAATTTTATGAGAAACTCAGATATTGCTCAACTATACAGCATTAAATATTGCATAAACCTTATGTTGTCCTGATATGCTTCCTTTCCTAAGAGGCATTCAATGCACGCTTCTCCTTATTATCTCTGGAAGACAGTCCATGTGAGGGATATTAGGTTAAAAAACAGATTAGGACCAAAAGCTCCTAGTCATTGAAGGATGGTTTGCCCTGCTACAGGAAATCTTATTAACACCATCAAAGTATTGCAAGATATTACAGTATTGCAATACTAGATTGTATTGCAATACAATCCATATGAGAGAATGGTCTTAGTACATGTAAAAGCTGAGACTGTGAAATGCAAGAAGAAAATCAAGACCTTCCACTTCAGCTATATCTTCCACAATGTGGTCCTTGATGCATTGAATTGTCCTTTCATACTACATGTTTTCCTTTAAAGAGGCAAACAGGGGAAATGAGGTTTGGAAAACTTGGATCCAATACTATATTCTTGGGTGAAAAGACCTGCCATTTCTCACTGCTGGTTGGTTAGGCT